ATATATATATATATAATTTTGCCACGTACCTACCTTGAAATCAATCCCCTCTTCTTGTGGAATCCATGGATCACACTTGGACCACCACCCCCCCGTCTTCAGACTGTGGTGTCTCGGTCCAATCAGAGGCTGCCCGCCGGCCGGGGCGTGAAAATAAGAAGAACCCTGATAATAAAATACTCTTAGAATCACCCAGAGGCTCTAAGATTCATCTGTGAGGAGTCCCCCTTCCCTCATCGATGGGAACTCAGGCGTGGAACAAGAACCCAAATGGACCTGAGTTCTTTGACCAAACCGAGAGGGGAAAATGTCTTCCATTGAGAAGAAGAAGAAGAAGAAAAACATAAAAMCCCTCTGTGTTTGTTGGCGCCTCCAGCTCGAACAGAAAACAACAGGTTGCGGTTAAAAAACAACAACACGTCACCTGATAGAAGAGAAAATGAAAAGATGGCCACTATCAGTCTAAAAATAGCAGAGACAGCTTATTCCCTCCGCCGGGGAGAGAGACGGACAGCCTCCGCCGCTGTGAGGATGCGGGCATCTGCAGTCGCTCCGGTTGGATGCTGGGGGAGAAAAGGCGGCTTCTGATTGGCTGCAGCCGCTGCTGGGCTCCAGCCTATCGCCATCTTCGCTGTCCGAGGTGCTGAAGCAGCCGAACGACCGCGTGGAAAATGCTGCTCCTCCGGGGATCAGRATCCACGCCGTGGATTTTATGAATCGGTTCGATTGGGCCAGAACCCGTTTGACTCAGATTCTGTCAGAAAACAGATTTTTTTATGAAACTATTTAGCTCGCTTAAACTAATTAATTATACTGAAAACTAAACAAGTCCAAATCATAAATCCAAGATTCAAATTTAATCACGGTCGGCTCATTCTATAAAACATTCAGGTGTAACACATTATAATTTATAGATTTAAAAATTGTACCAATTTGTAAAAGAAAAAAAATGACACAAGGGTCAAATAAACAGATTCTAAGAAAAAAAATTAATTTTCGTTTCCCCTCAACCTCCGTCCTGAGCAGATGAGATGACAGTGGTATAAAAAAAACTATTGTGTGGTGTAGGTGTGTGAGTGTGAGACAGGTGTGTAACGTAGGTATGTGAGACAGGTGTGCAAGACACTTGTGTGAGACAGATGCGTGAGACAGGTGTGTAATGTAGGCTGGTCAGACTGGTGAGACAGATGTGAAAGACATGTGAGGGATTTGTGTGTGAGATTGATGGGAGGAAAAGGTCAGTAAGACAGATGTGAGAGAAAGATGTGTATGACTGGTGTGTGAGACAGGTGTTTGAGGCTGGTGTATTAGACAGGTGTGTAATTTAATTCAATTCAATTCAGTTCAGTTTATTTATATAGCACCAAGTCACAACATATGTTGTCTCAGGACACTGTACATAAAAAGAATAATCTAAAGAAGAAGCCAGCAGATTGTGTTGAATCACTTCATCACAGTCTACCATCCTGAGCAAACGGTGGAGAGGAAAACCTCCCTGCTAATCAGGAAGAAACCTCCAGCAGAACCAGGCTCAGGACGGGTGGCCATCTGCCTCGACCGGCTGGTTGAGGAACAGGAAAGAGACACAAACAAACACAGAAGAACTGGTCCGGGACTGGTCCAGGTGCACCTTCTTCTGGAAGAGACAAAGAAAAAACATGATAGAAATAATAACAATAAACATGTAGAGAAGAGAGACTAAAGACAACAGCAGAGTGAGGAAATGTGCTCAGTTTGTGCTCCAGCAGTCTAAGTCTGTAGCAGCAGAAATGAAGAATAATTCAGGAAACCTAAGTCTAACTATAGGATTGATCAAAAAGGAAAGTCTAATCTTAAAAGTAGACAGAGTGTCAGCTTCACAGACTAAACTGGAAGTTGGTTCCACAAGAGAGGAACTTGATAACTGAAAGCTCAGCCTCCCATTCTACTTTTAGAAACTCGTGGAACCACAAGTAAACCTGCAGTCTGAGAGTGAAGTGCTCTGTTAGGAAAGCATGGAACAATAAGATCTTTAATATATGATGGAGCTTKGTTGTTAAGAGCTTTGTATGTTAGGATTAATATTTTAAAATCTGTTCTGAATTTGACAGGGAGCCAGTGGAGARAAGCTAAAACTGGAGAAATATGATCTCTCCTTCCAACTCTCATTAAAACTCTAGCAGCAGCATACAGTGGTTTGCAAAAGTATTCATACCCCTTGAACTTTTCCATATTTTGTCACATTACAACCACAAACATAAATATATTTCACTGGAATTTAATGTGAAAGACCAACACAAAGTGGTATACAATTGTGAAGTTGAAGCAAAATTTTACATGAATCAAAACATTTTTTACAAATAAAAAACTGAAAAGTGCGATGTGCAAAATTATTCAGCCCCCCTGAGTCAATACTTTGTGGAGCCACCTTTTGCTGCAATTACAGCTGCAAGTCTTTTAGGGTATGTCTCCACCAGCTTTGCACATCTAGTGACTGCAATTCTTGCCCATTCCTCCTTGCAAAACAGCTCAAGCTCAGTCAGATTGGATGGAGAGCGTTTGTGAACAGCAGTTTTGAGATCTTGCCACAAATTCTCAATTGGGTTTAGGTCTGGACTTTGACTGGGCCATTCTAACACATGAATATTCTTCTTTTTAAACCACTCCATTGTAGCTTTGGCTTTATGTTTAGGGTCGTTGTTCTGCTGGAAGGTGAACCTCCGCCCCAGTCTCAAATCTTTTGCTGACTCCAACAGGTTTTCTTCCAAGATTGCCCTGTATTTGGCTCCATCCATCTTCCCATCAACTTTGACCAACTTCCCGGTCCCTGCTGAAGAGAAGCACCCCCAGAGCATGATGCTGCCACCACCATATTTGACAGTGGGGATGGTGTTTTCAGAGTGATGTGCAGTGTTCTTTCTCCGCCACACATAGCGTTTTGCATTGTGGCCAAAAAGTTCAATTTTGGTCTCGTCTGACCAAAGCACCTTCTTCCACATGTTTGCTGTGTCCTCAACATGGCTTCTGGCAAACTGCAAACGGGACTTCTTATGGTTTTCTTTTAACAATGGCTTTCTCCTTGCCACTCTTCCATAAAGACCACATTTGTGTAGTGCACGACTAATTGTTGTCCTGTGGACAGTTTCCCCCACCTGAGCTGTGGCTCTCTGCATTTCATCCAGAGTCACCATGGGCCTCTTGGCTGCCTCTCTGATCAGTGATCTCCTTGTTCGGCCTGTAAGTTTAGGTGGACGGCCTTGTCTTGGCAGGTTTACTGTGGTACCATACTCTTTCCATTTCCGGATGATGGATTGAACAATGCTCCGTGAGATGTTCAAAGCTTGGGAAATCTTTTTATAACCTAAGCCTGCTTTAAACTTCTCCAAAACCATATTCCTAACCTGTCTGGTGTGTTCTTTGGACTTCATGATGCTGTTTGCTCCCCAATATTCTCTTAACCAACATCTGAGGCCGTCACGGAGCAGCTGTATTTGTACTGAGATTAGATTACACACAGGTGGACCCTTTTGAGTCATTAGCAGTCATCAGGCAACTTCTGAATGCAATTGGTTGCACTCAGGGAAAAGGGGGCTGAATACTTTTGCACGTCGCACTTTTCAGTTTTTTATTTGTAAAAAATGTTTTGATTCATGTAAAATTTTGCTTCCACTTCACAATTGTATACCACTTTGTGTTGGTCTTTCACATTAAATTCCAGTGAAATATATTTATGTTTGTGGTTGTAATGTGACAAAATATGGAAAAGTTCAAGGGGTATGAATACTTTTGCAAACCACTGTAATTTAGGTGTGTAAGACAGGTGTTTGAGGCTGTATTAGACAGGTGTGTGAGATCCGCGTGTGAGAAAGTTGTTAGATTTTTGTAAGAGACGTAAAGTCTCAAAATTAGAGTACATGGATGTCTCTTGACAAGTTTTGGAGAAACAGCTAAAAGTTCTGACAAAGTCCTCCATCACTGTCCCAACAACCCTCTGCTTGCCTACGTCCTTCTGGCCTTCTGCAGGATTTTCTGCACTGAAAGATGTTCTTTTTCTCCCACAACCTTGTAAAGTTTTCAAAGGACAGTGTCTGTAGAAATGGACACATTCATATTTAAGTTTTAATGTCAGAATGATGTTTTGAACTAATTGAATATCTTATTATAATTTGTGACCCAAAGACGGGATTAACTGACCTGACTGCAGCTGCAGCATCCAGACACATCTGACTGAGAGCCAGGAGRAAGCCTGAGGTGAAACCAGGTCCTGATATCAGAGCTGCATCGGCTCCCATCTCATCAACCAGCAGGTGGCGCTGCTGAGCAGTGCTGGTCCTCACCGCTGAACTCAGGTGGCTGAGGAAGGACACTGCAGCTTCTACATGTATTCAGCATGGTGTTTTTACCTCAGCCCAGGGTTGAGCAGAACCATCAGCACTCGGCCGGGGCTGAACTTCTTCATCATGGCCTCCGGGGCCAGGTTGACCTGCTGGTGAATAAAGACATTGGCAGAGTGATCCTCAGCAGCAGAGCTCTGCCGATCTCTCCACCTTTACATCCATGTCCTTCTGCAGGCTGGCGCAGAGAGGTGTCTATGGCTGCACAGGCCACACAGGAATGCATGTTCTTCACCTGAGGGGTCCCAGTGAGCATCAACAGCGAGGAGCCAAGCTTCTGCTCCAGATGGTCCAAGTGTCCATACTTAAAGACACATGTGGACCAAAGAGTTCAGAGTAAATAGAAACAGGAAGAGAAAAGCCTCAACCTAACTCATCTACAGCGGCTAGACATACTTCCTGCAGTTTGACCATCAGAGTGTCTGTGTGTTTCTGAGCCAGCACTTGGACCAGTTCCAGCACCTCCACTTTCTTCTCCCTGTGAAAAGATGATGTCATTCTTCTGCTGCTCTCTGCTCAGAGGCTTTTCTGTGACCTGGATCCAGCAGGCAGAGTTGTTCATTTGTTCTGACAATAGTGAGAGAGGAACATCAAAGCTAAAGTTCTGCACTGTAGAATCTGGCTCAGTGTTTTACCAGTCAACTTGGCCCAGATGCTGCAAGACCAGAGACACACTCTGCTCAGGGTTTGGAAGTGGCTTAAGGTCCAGTTTAGGCTGAGCTTTCACAGTCTGGGGGGCAGGTTTCTTCACGTTTGTGGTCTTTGTGGAGCCCACGGCTCTTTGACCAGATCTTGTAGTTTTGTGAGGACCTGGTTTGAGAGATGGAACAAGGTGGGTCCTTTGAGGAGCTGCAGTGGGTCGAGGCAGAGGAGCGACAGAGTTTCCTCTGAAAAGTTTTGGTCAGTATTTTTAAAGGTTCTCTCTGAGCTTCAGCTTTTTGAAGACTGACTTCTTCTTTTTCTGTTAGTGTCAAATTACATTTGTTTCACTGATAATGTGGCGATGTGGCTGCTAAATTCTCAATCATGTGCTTTGTGTAACTCAAGTCTTACTAAACTACAAAAAATACAAACTGAAGACAAGAATAAGTAACAAAAATATCAGATATTTCCACATTTCAGAACAGAGACATGCATCATGTTGTAACTAAACTTTTGCACGGTTGTATTTCTGAGAATAACCAAAATTGCTTTATTTTATGATGTATGTTGAGATAACTTGTTAAAGAACTGACCTGGGGTCTCATTTATAAAGGATTGCGTGGAAACCATACTAAAAGTGAACGTACGGCCAAAAGGCAGAAATGGCAAACGCCAAAAAAAATTCAGATTTATAAAACTGTGTGTACGCATGTTTCTGCGCATCTTTCCTTTATAAATCACAGCCGCACGTCAGAGTTTGCGCACGAGGTCCCGCCTCAGGTTCTACCCTCTACACGCCCACACTCAACCATAAACAGTCAATGTAAAGTACCTCATGAATGTTAAGATGTATTAAAATCAGTCAGCTGATCAGTGTCAAAAAAAGTGATTGGCCAGTTCAGACAGCACTGTGAGTCTGGAGGTGCTGAAAGCTGCTCACATGAACAGAATGTCTGTAATTTACACAGCCTTTCTCTTGTTTTGCAGGTTTACAGACATTTAGAGTAATCTAATTATTTATTTCAAAAACTCAGCTTTAAATTAATTTTCTCTCAGAGGATGATAAATAAAATAAAATAAGTCAGATAAAATTAAGTTCACCACTCTTCTCCCCCGTCCCCCCCATCTCTGCTCTGTTGTCTGCGGCAGGGTCGTCTGAGGAGGAAGGAGATGCGTGAACTTTTATTTAAGATTTAAGTTTTTTATTTCAAAGGTCCTCATGGCTCAGCAGCARAAGCWTAAAWATTACTGTTAAGAAAGCTGATGATAAAGTTGAATAAAAAATCTAAGTCTGGTTATGAAGTGAAATTACTGTAAATATCTGACAGTGATCATTACACAGTGTGGCTCCAATTCCTCACTTCACCATCTGTGTCCCAGTTTCACGTCTCCAAAATGAGCGTACGCATGGGTCAGAGCTGGCGTGAGGCACCGCACATTTTCACATCAAGTTTGGATTTTATAAATCACAACCTTGGCGTACAAAGTGGCATACGCAAGTTTCTGGGCTCGTTTTGTACGTACGCCAGTTTTATAAATCTGACCCCAGAAGTTTAGGTTATTTAGGTTAGGCACATCAGTTTTACTGCGCATAGATAAAATACTCACAAACACACATCATGGTAGAGAATTCAGCCATCGTTTTTCAGTTGAACGACTTTTATTTCCTGCAGGATTGTTTAAATCTTTTCAGAAGAAGACTTCTGTAATCTTGATTCATGCTGGAATTTCCTATTTGACTCATTAGTGCCGCTAGTGTTTGAACATGGAACTGCATCATTGCTCCCAGGCAAGAGACAAATGAGTGACAGGAGCGCTTCAGGGGCCCAATTAGATTTCAGCAGGGGCCAATGCCCCTGTGGTCCCACCCCTAGAACCGCCACTGCTTTCAGTACTATGTGTTATTTTAAACCTTTGAGCAATATGGCTGAAACTTGGTCATTTCTTAACATGAGATGATTATAGTTTAATAGTAAAATGTCAGTGATATGCAATGGGCCTTTGATTATAATCATTTATTTATTTTATGGTGGCTCAACAGCATTCAGTATGACAGAGTATTAGGGCCACACTACAAGATCTTCTGATTATTATTACAAGATTAAAGCTGCAATATTACGAGAACTACTACACAAAAAATATGTGTTTAACCACTGTGTTAAAATAAGGAATTTTGAGCACCTTCTGAAGTTATACTTTGGTATTCAGTTAAAATAAATACATAATCCTTTAGCGCATCAGCATCAAATTATTCGTTGCAGATTTTAAATTGGTTGTGAGAGGTTATAGTTTAGTGATATACAGTATATATAGTAT